TAACAAAATGAGTTCAAGTGATCCCCAGCGTGGTTACGTGGAATTGAAAGAGACTGGGAAATGTAAGGAGCTTTTTAAGGCTTGGAGTGACAAAGGTTTAGCATTGACAAGCAGCTTTTGAATCTGGCACTGAGTCTCAACACCAAATTATACTTGTTTAATAAAATAAACCATCCCAACACTCTTCACAAAAGCGATTTAAAGCAACATTTCATGCTAAGCCACATAAAGGGACATTTGTCCAGATAACCAAAAGTTTGGTCAAAGAGAAGTAATGTTCATTGGTGAATTAAATCTGCTATCTTTACCCAGTCTGGCCTATATGTGACTCCAGACCCACAGCAGACTTATAACTGGCCTCTGAAACGGCCTAGCATGCCATTCAGTTCCACGGCAAATAGGGATGGGCAATAAATGCTGGCATAGTCTGTAATGCCCATGTCTCTTGAATGAATTATTAAAAAATGCAGGTTTTAATGAGCGTCTTAAAAGAGGAACAAGGTATAGAGACATGGAGAAGTCTAGGGAGGAACTCCAGAATTTAGAACATAGCTAGCTGAAGGCAAAGTCATGAATGGTGCAGCAATCAAAATTGGCCAGTATAAATGCTAACAGATTTCTCAGATGCATATTGGGCTGAAGATGATTACAGAAATAAAGAATATCATGGAGGAATTGTAAACAAGGCTTCAAACCTTTGACCAAACATTTGATCCCAAGTGATCTAATGTGTTGGATTTTTGGGACCAACATATTAGGACCTTTAAAAATGGCAGACAGGACCCCGATCCAAAAGGCCCTTTTACAATTTTCAGAAGATCCCATTGTTTACTAATTGGGAAAAGAGGATGAAGCATGAAATGAACAAGTTGAAATTACAAATTGGCTGAGCAATGTAAACCCAGTGCACAAGACAAGGAGATTTGATTTTCACTCCAGGAACAGACTGAACAATAGTATGTGTTCCAATTGCAGTGCTGTGAAGACTAACAGATCAGGTATGTAAAAAGGTCAAGGTAATATGTCATTTAAACCGTCTGTTCTTTAAATCTATTGTGGTTATTCAATCAATGTTTGTTGACATAACCCTAAGGGCTAATCATTATAACGTTATCACTGTGAAAATACTTGCAAAACCTGTCATTATCACAGCAGGGAATTCTAAGTTTACAGCTCATAGCCAAGTACCAGACTAGATATATATGTTTACCAACTAAGTTATCAAAGACATCTGGGAACTTTAGCATTTTACAAAATACCCAATTACATTTAATAGCTGTGACGTTGATAAGAAGCTTGAATGCATTGTTGTAGCAATATCATGCGGATTCCAATTTAAAAGCTATCAGCAGCAAGTTCCAATCCCTTTGAAACACAACATTAAAAATATAGCAGATAGCATTCCTGTCTCAGTTTTATTGTATTTTTGAATTTAGCTTAAATATGCAACAGCAGTTTTCCCCCATTTTCTATTTCACAAAGTTTAATCTTGCTGTCTGGAAACTCAAAAGAATGACAATTTTCTGGAAATAGGATTCTTTCACAGAATGCCACAGACTGGCCTTTTAGAATGACCCATGGTGATTTAATGTTAGGCAGAAGCTAGTTATCGAGGTGACTAGTTTACCGTGTTTGAATTTAGTGACAAATATTGTCAATTCACAAGCGATTTCACATTACTGCAGCAGTTCAACACACATGGCAATTAACACAGGTGACCTTCTGAAATTCAAAGCATTACTGCAAGAGAGAGAGGGGAAGAGAAAGAGAAAAATCAAAAGAACTGTAGAATATTTGAAATGTATGTTTAATGCCTTTATGGTTTTTCATTTCACTTTGTTTTGTGAAGTCCTGCTTGTAAGAGAAGCTGTGTGGAGTCTGACAGGTATATAATAACCTTTTTTTTCAATGTGCTCGTGGGACCTGGTCATTTGGCTGGGTCAGCATTTATTGTCCCTCCCTAGTTGCCCTTGGGAAGGTGGTGGTGAGCTGCCTTCTTGAACCACTGCAGTCCATGTGCAGTAGGTACACCCACAATGCCCTTAGGGAGGGAATTCCAGGATTTTGACCCAGACACAATGAAGGAATAATATATTTCCAAGTCAGGATGGTGAGTGGCTTGGAGGTGGTGGTGTTCCTGTGAATCTGCTGCCCTTGTCCTCCTAGATGGAAATGGTTGTGGGTTTGGGAGGTGCTGTATAAGGCTCTTTGGTGAATATCTGCAGTGCGTCTTGTAGATAGTACACACTGCTGCTACTGAGCGTCGGTGGTGGAGGGAGTGGATGCTTGTGGATTTGGTGCCAATCAGGTGGGCTGCTTTGTCCTGAATGATGTTAAGCTTCTTGCAGAAGATTAAAGCAACAATAACTACAGGTGAAACAAACAGGATTTTTTGAAATTACCCTCCCAAATTCTGGCTGTGGCGTATGTGGTGACGAGTCACCAAGCACGTTCAAATCCAACTATTTTTTACTTCTGTTCAGTCAGTTTATGATCCATTTCAATAAAATGCTTGCTGTGGTTACTGCTAAACATAAGCAGTAACTGGTAGCTTGAAGTTTTAGTCCAAGTGGTTGGGGCAGGGAGGGATGTTAAAACTTTAAAAATCAAATCCCAACCCAAATTGCCACCAATGCACATCTGGATCGAAGGAAGATGTGACATGTAGTCAACCCGAGAGATCGTTTGTGAATTCAAATGTAATAATGAGCCTGGTTGTCTTAAATTTAGTCCAGGTTGGGCCGGTTAGGCCCCAGGGAGCCCAACAACTAAAGGAGGCAAAGACAGCTTTGGGAAGAAGGTATGTATCTTTACAACACTCCTTGTGGGCCAAGAGAAGCATAGGAGCTTCCCACTGACTCCCCATTCTATCCCTAACCCCACCAGCCCAGCAGAGCCTACACCATGCAAAGACCCCTAGATTAAGATTGGCAGATCCCAATGGACTCAAATATCATCCAAGAATAACACTCCTCCTGCACCACCCCTTCCCGCCCCATCCCATAAAAACACAGACCCAGGGTTTCAGGTTCAGAACTAACCCCCACCCCCGACTCCAGTAACAGCTGTTACCTTTCAGTCTACAGCTGTGCTCCATTCCAGCACATTCCCCACCCAACTGGCCACCATGTCAATCAGTCAAATAGATTGACTTCCAGCTTGGGGCAGGGATTGAGGGGCAGAAAAATGCACATCCAGGCTTTCGGAGTGAGACTCTGCACTCCATTCAATGACACAAGCTGCCCTCGCATTTCAAAAGTTACCCATTTGGTTGTATAGCACTTTGGGATGTTCTGAGAATGTTTCAAACTCTGTGTAAATGCCAGTTCTTGCTTTATTTTCCATTGGAACCTCCTGCTCCGAGATTGTGTCCAAAGTAAGCTCTCTGCTTCAGGCTGTCCTGCAGCCAACTGCGAGAACTGGGCAGCTCTCCCTGTAATGTGTTAACATTCTAAGCAACAAATCGTTGCAGACTTTACAGGGGCCCAAATCAACCACAATTTGTGAACCTTCTTTATGAAGAGTACTAGGAAAAAGACTTGCATAATCGTGCAGCACAGAAAGAGGCCATATGGTCCCTTATACCAATGTCAGCTCTCTGAAAGAGCTATCTATTTATTCCTCTCCACAATCCTCTCCCAACGGCCCTGTAAACATTTCCTTTTCCAGCGGACGTCCAATTCCTTTTTGAAAGATACTACAGAATCTGCTTCCCCCACATATTCAGGCAGTGCATTTCAGAGCATTGCAACATATTGGAACAAGGCCTTTGAAAAGGTGCCGCACAGAGGCTGCTGAGTAAGATAAGGGCCCATGGTGTTAGAGGCAAGGTACTAGCATGGATAGAAGGTTGGCTGTCTGGCAGAAAGCAGAGAGTGGGGATAAAAGGGTCTTTCTCAGGATGGTAGCCGGTGACAAGTGGTGTTCCACAGGGGTCAGTGTTGGAACCACAACTTTTCACTTTATACATGAATGATCTAGGTGAAGGAACTGTGGGCATTCTGGCTAAGTTTGCAGATGATACAAAGATAGATGGAGGGACAGGTAGTATTGAGGAGGTGGTGAGGCTGCAGAAGGATTTGGACAGGTTAGGAGAGTGGGCAAAGAAGTGGCAGATGGAACGTGGGAAAGTGTGAGGTCATGCCCTTTGGTAAGAAGAATAAAAGCATGGACTATTTTCTAAATGGGGAGAAAATTCAGAAGTCTGAAGTGCAAAGAGACTTGAGAGTTCTAGTCCAGGATTCTCTCAAGGTAAACTTGCAGGTTGAGTCAGTAGTCAGGAGGGCAAATGCAATGTTGGCATTTATTTTGAGAAGACATGAATATAAAAGCAGGGATGTACTACTGAAGCTTTATAAGGTCCTGGTCAGGCCACATTTGGAGTATTGTGTGCAGTTTTGGGCCCCATATCTCAGGAAGGATGTACTGGCCCTGGAGCGGGTTCAGAGGAAGTTCACGAGAATGGTCCCAGGAATGAAAAGCTTAACAT